CACAACACACAGCACACAGCACACAACACACAACACACACACAACACACAGCACACAACACACAACACAACACACAGCACACAACACACAACACACAGCACACAGCACACACCATACAGCACACAGCACACAACACACAACACACAACACACAGCACACAACACACAGCACACAACACACAACACACCACACACCACACAACACACAACACACCACACACAGCACACACCACACCACACACCACACAACACACAACACAACACACAACACATACCACACAACACGCAACACACACCACACAACACAAACCAGACAACACACAACACACAACACACGGCACACACCAGACGACACACAGAATACAACACACATCACACAACACACAACACACAATACACAACACGCAACACAAAGCACACACCACACAACACACAACACACAACACACAACACACAGCACAGCACACAACACACAACACAACACACAACACGCAACACACAGCACACAACACACAACACACAACACACAACACACAACACACGACACACGACACACAACACACACCACACAAACACACAGCACACAACACACAACATACAAGACACACCACACAACACACAACACACAGCACACACCACACATCACACAACACAAAACACACGCCACACACCACACAACACACCACACACCACACAACAACCAACACACAACACACAACACACAGCACACAACACACAACCCACAACACACAGCACACAACACACACCACACAACACACAACACACACCATACAGCACACAACACACAACACACCACACACAACACACAACACTAAACACACAACACACAACACACAAGACAACACACAACACACAACACACACCACACAACACACAACACACACCACACACCACACGACACACAACACACAACACACAACACACAAGACAACACACAACACACAGCACACAACACACAACACACAACACACAACACACAACACACAACATACATTACACAACACAACACACAACACACAACACACAACACACAACACACAACACACCGCACACAACGCACAACACACAACACACAACACACAACACACAACACGCAACACACAACACACACCAGGCAACACACAACACACAACACACAACACACAACACACAACACACAACACACAACACATAACACACAACACACAACACACAACACACAACACACAGCACACAGCACACAGCACACAGCACACAGCACACAGCACACAGCACACAGCACACAGCACACAGCACACAGCACACAACACACAACCCACAACCCACAACACACAACACACAACACACAACACACAACACACAACACACCGCCAACGCACACACGCACACACACACACACGCGCACACACACGCGCACACGCGCACACGCGCACACGCGCACACGCGCACACGCGCACACGCGCACACGCGCACACGCGCACACGCGCACTCACGCGCACACGCGCACTCATGCACACGCGCACACACGCACGCACACACGCACGCACTCACGCACACGCACTCACGCGCACACGCACACGCGCACGCGCACACACGCACAAGAGCACTCACGCACACACGCACACACGCACACACACACGCACGCACGCACGTTCTCCCAAGCTCTGGCGGAATTGTTCTCCCAAGCACAGGCGAAATCTTCTTCCTAATTCACGAACTGTCCCCCCCCCTCCCCAAGAATGTGCCACCCAGGGTGAGGGTCTTCTTTGCGTTGCGTGTCGTGTACTTTCTGGATGACACCTGTGGCCCCAGGGGCGAGAGCGGCTTCGCCAATCGTGAGGTGCGTGGTCGTGCTCTCTCTGTGTTGGGCGAGGCGGGGGCACGGGCCCTCGTCGCTCGATGGGCGCGCGTCGGGCGCGGCGGGAGAGTGCATAGGCCTCCGTCGCTCGGCGAGTGCCGGGCGCGCGTCGGGCGAGGCGGAGGCAGGGGCCTCCGTCGCTCGACGAGTGTCGCCGAGAGCACCCTATATCCAGCGGCTACCAGCCCAGCCCGGGAGAAATGGCTTGGAGGCAAAGGAGGCGGGGTGGAGGCTTAGCTTAATTGTTATCATACATCGAGTATTCTTTGACTATTTTGTAGTTTTCTTTAGAACTCCGCCTGTAGGAGGACATGCCCGACCTGAAGCTGCCTCCAAAGCCACTTGGGATGAGAAATCTGAGGCAGGGGTGCTTGTCCATTACCGCCGCCTGGGGAACCGAACTTCGGGGGCCTCGCCAGGCAGTGGACATGGATATATGTGGGCCTTGCGGCCTTGCGGGGGGAGAGTGTCCACATCCACCGCCAACCGAGGGCCCCGAAGATGGATCCCCCAGGCGGTGGTTCTGGGTAAATCTCCGCGTCGCGAGAAAGCCGGTTCCCGGGAAGGGGCCCAGACTTCTGTGGACCAGGAACTCTTTGGTGGTGGTGCCTTCGTCTCCCTCTTCCTCTTCTTCCTTTCCATGAGGTCCGGGATTGTGGCCGGCAGGATGCTCACAGCTGTTGAGTCATCGAGAGGGCCAATATAGCTTTTTGTCCGGCGCGCGCACGCACGCTCGCATTGCCGCGGGCTTCCTCCGTGTAGGTTGGAAGCGTCAATGACATCTTCAGCCTTATCAGGCATCTGATTATTATATTGCCCTGTTGCGTGCACCACACTAGCGGGTATCTGTTTGAAGAGAAATTCGCTTACGACAAGGAAGCTCATTTTGGCGACGCTCCTTTCTTATGGTGCAAATGCCAGTTCTGGCGCCGAATTATCCACTTCCTGTCTCTATGAAGAGTACCTATGATCATTTGGTAGGTCGTGCTCCGCACGAGGCGCAGTGTAGTTCGAATCAAACGGCAGCTATATTGCACCCCAGGCGGCAGCAGGCCCTACAACACAGCTGTAGTATGATCCGTACGATCCAGAGAGAACCTGCCCACAGAGGGTGTTTTGCCTGGAGTGCAGAGCGCTGTATGCGGAGTGCAGCGAGCACCAGAGCACGAGAGACCACGCGGGAGGCCACGCGGGAGACCACGCGGGAGGCCGCGGGCCACCGATCCTGGGCCCAGCCTCCTGCCCCCGGGCCCCTCCACGGCCTGCGGGGGCCGAGCCCCATCGGCGGGCCCAGGCCTCCGGCGCCGTGGACTCTTTCCACGACGCGCCTCCTCGGAGGTCCGGACCCCGAGCACGGCAGATCACCACAGCAGGACGGCAGGGCTGCCGTGCTCGTGCTCCGCGTGTTTTCGGATGGGAGAAAATGATCCCCTGAGGTCCGGGCCCCTTTCCGTGGGGCCGGTTCTTCATCCCTAGCCGTGTCTTGACGGCCTGCAGGGCCTGGAAAGGGCCGAGCGCTTCCCGCCTCGAGCTTTCTCCGCGGTGCGAGGACGTCTGGGATCCCAGGCAGTTTCGCATTCACGAGGTTGGGGGGCGGGGCGATATATGTGGAAGACATGTGTCGGCATGACGGCGAGGAGGGTGGAGGTGGTGGGAGGGAGGGGAGGTGGAGGGGGGGCAGGAAGGGGAGGCGCGTTTTTTGCCTCACATGGAACCCCCATCCTCTCGTTACAAGCATCGCTGGCTTCGCTTTCCCTGGTGCTGCAGTACCACAAATCTTGATTCCCGAGGGTGCCACATCCATCCGCCAGGGTGCATTTCAAAAGTGTTCTTCCCTGCGGAGCCTTGTATGGAACACTAGGCCACCCCCAGGGGCGCGAATATTACCGCGCCTCGCGCGCCGCGGCCTGGGCCAGAGAGTTGCCCTTCTCCAGGCGGCGGCGCGAGGGCGCGAAGATAGCCGCGCATCGCGGGGCGCGGGGCGCGAAGTTAGGTGACCGAGGAACACGGCTTGCTCCGTCAGCGCAGGCGCATTTCAGGGATGTGCGTCTTCGATTCCCATGGATACCCCTGTTCTCGTTATATCGAAGACGCCTACGGCGAATCACCGCCGCCCCCTGCCTTTGTGGAAGCGCCTATGTGGCCGAACGTTGAGGCCAGACCTGCCAAGCCATCGGACCATGTGTTCCCCGAATCGGTTTGGAAAGCCTTCGGGGAACACGTGGGCGTCTTGATGGTCATCGTCGCCGTCTTGGAGGCCTCTTGGGCGATCTTTCGGCGATCTTTGGGGGCTCTTGGGCCGTCTCGGGCCGTCGGAAGGCCGAAAAAAGGGAAATGCCCAAATCCAGCAAAAACCTTGGGAAAATCAGTGATTTTGGCATCTTTTGGCCTTCCTGGAGGCCTCTTGGGGGCCTCTTGGGCCCTTTTGGGCCAGCTTCGAGCCAACTTCGGCCATCTTGGTGGGTTCCTGGCACGTCTGACGCCGTCGGGAGCCGTTTTGGGGGCCTTTCTGGGCCAACGGGGGACCCTCTTGGGGCGCTCCAGGGCCGTCTTGGAGGCCATCTTGGGCGTCTTGGAGGCCATCTTGGGCGTGTTGGAGGCCTCTTGGGCCGTCTTGGGGCCCTCTAGGGGCCATCTTGGAGGCCACTTGGGCCATCAGGGGGCTCTCTTGGGGGCCTCTTGGGCGATCTTGGGGGCTTCTTGGGCCGTCTTGAGCCGTCGGAGAGCCGAAAAGGCGCAAATGCCAAAATCCTTCAAAAACCAAGGGAAAATCAATGATTTTGGCCTCTTCGGACTCTCCTGGAGGACCTCTTGGAGGCCTCTTGGGCCGTCTGGGAGGCCTCTGGGGGGCCTCTTGGGCCGTCTTGGGCCGTCTTGGACTCTCTTGGGCCGTTTTGGAGGCCGTCTTGGACCATCTCGGGCGGACTTGGAGGCCATCTTGGGCCATCTTCGCGATTTTTTGAGGATGTCCCGAGCGAAACGGCCGTTTTTGGAGGATTTTTTTCCGGATTGAGGTGTTTTCGGCTTCCTCCCGGGACCCCGGCGGGACGGGCCGGAGCCCACTGGGGAGTTCTTTTGGAAAAAGAACCAAAACCAAAACCTGACAGCTCATCCAGCACGCCGTGCACCCCTGCAAGCAGGGGTCGGCGGATAGTGGCCTTCGGCGCATCCCGCCACCGTGCCTGGGTGGTGAGCCAGAGGCTCATGGATGTTGGTTGCGATCCCGTGGTTGGCCTCTAGGGGGCCTCTTGGAGACACTTCTGAAGCCTCTGGGGGTCTTTTGGGGGCTCGTCGGCACGAAAGAGTCATGCGAGAAGACGACGGGGTGCAGCATGCGAATCTCGGAGTGCTCCGCGCCGGATTAGCGGAGGTCCGCCCCGCTAATTGGTATCGAAGCGTGCGGATTCCCGGAGTGCTTCGCGTCGGATTGGCGGAGCGGCGCTCCACTAGGCCTCAAAGCAATAAATTATGTTTCTCCCATTAGCAGAGCGCCGCTCTGCTAATTAGAGAAGAGTTTTTCTGGCCGTGTGTTTTGAAGCCAATTAGCAGAGCGGCGCTCTGCTACTTGGAGGAAAGCAATTTCCGGACGTCTGTTTTGAGGCCAATTAGCAGAGCGGCGCTCTGCTAATTGGAGAAGCAATTTCTGGACGTCTGTTTTGAAGTCAATTAGCTGGATGCTGGATGCTGGATGCTGGGTCCCTAAAAGACTCCTCAGGATTGAGGACTGAGGCGAAGGACCTGAGGACAAGCCCACTCAGTGCCCGAGGCACGGTGGCGGATTTATCAATGCATATATATATATATACACGTAGAAAGATAGACAGATAGATAGATGGGCAGACGTGCGCGACAATAGGAAAGTTGAAGAAACCACCAAAGAACCCAGGGCCATCGCAAATCGACCGCCTCTCCCTTCCCCCCAACCTCCCTATCACCCGTGGGGTGGTCTTGTCGGTAAATTATATTGCGTGGATTGTCTTGAATAAGTGTTTCCCACGAGTGAGAACGGTCAGACGCCCATTCCAACGTTAAGCAGCAGCCCTTCTTCCTGATCTCTCTTTCTCCTCCTCACCCTCCCCCCCCCCCCTCCTTCTCCTCCCGAGTCTCCCCGTCCTCTCTCCTGCCGCCCGCCTCCCGCAGCCACGGTCGGCAGCTCTCGGTTCAGTGTAGGGCCCGATGCCCCGGGCCGGCCTGGGACCGCTGTTCTTCGCCGACGCGTAAGAGTGACCCTTCGCCGGAGTGACCTTTGGTGCGCGGCTCTTTGGGCCTCGGGGGGCACCCTCGTCGCCATGGCGGGGCGCGGCTCGAAAAACGGGTCAGATTGGACCCAGGGAAGGGTCCGGGGGCGGATTTGTGCGCACCAAAGGTCACTCTTGCCGAAGGTCACTCTTACGTCCCCCCGAGTTCTGTTCTTCGCAGATTTTGTTTCGTCGACCTCTCGTCGGGTGTCTTCGAAGGTTTCCGGAGGTTTTCGGAGGTGTTCGGAGGTACTCGGGGGGTCTTGGGGGCTCTCGGAAGTCCCCAGGAGCTCCCAGAAGCTCCCAGAGGTTCCCGGAGGATGCCGAGTTTCTTATAATCAGTCGTTTATTTTTCGTCGACTGTTCGTGGGGTGTTTTCGCGTGTTTTCGGTCGTCTCGGACCTCTTCTGGGCTTCCCGGGGGCCTCCTGGAGGCTTCCCGGGGGACCTCCGTCGACTTCCCGTCCCCTCCCCCTGACCATTTTTTCTTTGTTATATTTTTGGTCGTCGAACTTAGAGGTTCGTAAATTGTTTCCTCGGTTTCGGCCTCCGTGGACCGTTCCTGGGGCTCGGGCCGCCAGAAGCGGATCCGGGGCGAAGAATTACTCCCAGGGAAGCGTCTCCTGCGAGCAGCGGCCCTCGGACGGGGCGGTGGGGGTGGGGGGAGGGAGAGGAGGCAGAGAGGGGAGATGGGGCAAGCTAGGTGCGCTCGCGCCGCATCTGACATCCTACCCCTCCCTCCCGTATTCTTCTCACCGAATCGGGTGGCGAATCTGACCTTATGCCTAGGCGGCATCTTGGGTGCGTGACCCGTCGTTCACCGCTCGAATGGCAAAGGGGCCAGACGGGACCAGGTAACGCGGTGGGAGCTCGAGCGAAAACTTGGTGGGGAGACTCGTGGAGAGGCCCGTGGAGAGACGACGCCCAGAATCATGATGCGCTCAGCTTGATATGGGCAAACTGATGCTGAGCCCTCGAAGCGCATTCGACGCATGGCAAAACAAGGGTGGGAGGGGGCGGGGAGGAGCTGGGATTGGCAGGGGAGGGTAGGAGGGGGGGGAAGGGGGAAGGAGGAGGATAGACGAGGAAGTCATGAGGAGGGGTGGGGAGGGTGGGGGGAGGAGGACGAGGATGATGAGGAGTGGGAGTAAGAAGGAAGGGGGAGGGAGGAGGAGGAGGACGAGGAGGACGAGGACGACAAGGAGGGGGAGGAGGGAGGAAGGAGGAGGAAGGATGAGGGAGGAGGGAGGAGGAGGAGGAGGAGGAGAAGGGATGAGGATGCGGACCAAGGATGGGCGTGTGGAGCTCCACGGGCACCAGGCCAATTCTGCGGAAGCCAGTTGGGTGGCGCCTAGGGCGTCTGCGGCGTGCGGGGGGGCTCGGCGGGAGCCGGTGGCGCGCGCAGGCTTCGGGGCAGAGAGGGTCGTGGTGAGTAGACAGATCGAGTGGTTGTAGAGCGGGCAGGAGCGCGGCAGGCGCCGAGGCGAGAGCGCCTCTCGGAACCGCGCTTCGGGCGGAAAAGCGCATAAGAAGAAAACTTCTCGTCATCGGGATCGGGAGGAGAGTCGTGTTCATATTGAGCAGTTGTAGAGTGGTCAGGAGTGCGGCAGGCACCGAGGTGAGAGCGCCATTCGGAACTGTCGAAAACGCTCCGAGTGGAAAACAAGCGCAACAGAAGAGACACCTCGTGCACGTCCTGTGGAAAAGCAATGCGCGGAGGGGGGCGGACCACTCTCAACACGTTTTCGGGGTATAGATGAGAATAGTGGAGGAGGAGGAGGAGAAGGAGGAGGAGGAGGAGGGAAGAAGGAGGGGTATGGGGGAGAGGGGGAAAGGGCAAGCTATGTGCGCTCGCGCCATATCTGACGTCCTACCCCTCCCTCCCATCCCTTACCATGACGTAGACTGGCTCAAGTGGCTTTAGACTGTAGGTCGCGGCGGATCGGAGTGAGCCAGGTGCGGACCAGTCAACGTAAAAGTCAAAGTGTGACAGCTGTTCTCTCCCTGAAATGTCCCGATACGGCATCGTTAAATGTTTTTATGAAACAAAAGGTTTTGGCTTCATCTCTGACCAAGGGTCGCCAGACGTTTTTGTTCACATCAGTGATGTCGTGGGGCAGAAACTCGTCAATGGTGACCGGGTGTCTTACGAACTGGTTCATGCAAACGGAAAAGCCCGTGCAACACGTGTGGCTGGAGGTACCGGTGCAAAACTTGAGATGAAGGGAAGCAGGAAGGGAAAGGGCAAGGGAAAAGGTGGTAACAAGAGTACAAAGGGGCAGCACTTTGGCAGAGCGGGGGTTGATGCATTGGAATGTGCAAAGTTGGAGTTGTCGGGTATTGCCATTGAGGCGGGAGACCCCGCAGCGCTTGTGGACGTGCTTGAGGAGATTCCTAATGATTTGAGAGATGTTTCTGAAGACGTTGACGAAGTAGAGGGCGGCGAGGGCATATCGGTCGGGACATACAATTTGCTGCACCCAATTTATGCGGAGAACTACTCAGAGGTTGAAGGAGTGGTGCAGGACAGTGGGTGCAGCAATTGGCTGCAACGTGCACCAGCAATCGCAACATTGCTTCGGGATGGCAATCTAGATGTTTATTTCCTCCAGGAAGTAGGTTTGAAGGAGATCGTGGATTTGAGAAGACTATTGGGTGGACAGTCGCCACCAAAAAAAACTGAGGGCACTGTTGTTGGGTATGTCTTCGACATGGGGTTTTACGATTGTGTGCACTTCACTCACCCAAGCCGTGCAGCAAATGATGGCGTTGCTGTCCTGGTGCATCGTGGGCGACTCAAGCTGCTCAATCAGCAGGCTGTCCCATTCCTCGGGAAGGGTGTGGGTGATGCATTGAGCGGAGAGCCCTACATGTGCGCCGCCCTTGCCCTCGCAGAGGATGCCTGGGGGCAGCGTGTTGTCTTTGTTTCGACACACTTTTACGAACAAAAAGGCGGTGAAACCCCAGGATGCCTTGCTCACGCACCTCGAACGTTCGCATCTCGAAGCTGACTTTGGCCGAATAGATGTTATAGTTTGGGGCGGCGATTGCAATCGCTCATATGCGGAGGCGCCACCAGGATTCATACATGCTCCCGAAGGCATGGCAGCCACACGTCCCAACGCGTACACGAAGAGGCGGATTGATTGGATCTTCGCTTCCGAAGGTTGTGCCATGTCCCGCTCGACAAAGACAAAGTGTTTCATCAAGTCCACATCTCGCCGGATTATCTCCACAGGGAAAGTTGCTTCTGATCATCGAGCCGAGGCCGTTGTGATCATATTACCAACCGAAGATAAAATGTAATCCAGGCAACCCCAGAGCTATGTGTTACACTTCAAGCATGATGATATCGGTTCAGATGGGTACCTTTTGATTTTGAGACTTTCTTAGCACTTCTTAGTTTCAAATTATTAATCGCTTCGCTCACTCCGCCGGCCCATGTCGCATCGCTGGGGCTGCGTGGTTGTGTGGGTCTGGAGCCACTCGGATGGCTGATGGGGTCTCGTGGGCGGCTTCTCGGAGGCGTCTTGGAGGCGGTTTTTGGGCCGTCTTGGGGGCCTCGTCGGGACCTCCTGGGGGCCTCTTGGGGGCCTCTTGGGGCCTCTGGGGGTCTTTGGGGGCTCTCTTGGGGCGGAAGGCTTGGATTTTCGGATCGCGCCCCCCCTCCTGGGGTCCTCTTGGGGTCATCTTGGGCGCCTCTTGGGCCGTCTTGGGGGCCTCTTGGGCCGTCTTGGGCGGCTCCTGAGGGCCTCTTGGGCCGTCAGGGGGCGATCTTCGGGGCCTCTTGGGCCGTTCTGGGGCGATCTTGGGGGTCTATTGGGCAGTTTCGGACGTTCTGAACCCCGAAGCGTCAGATATGCGAAAAATGTACGTTTCCCGAAAGGAATGAAACGATTTTTGCTTGTTGAGGCTCTCTTGGAGGGCCTCCTGAGGCTCTCTTGGGTCTTCTTGGCGGCGTCCTGGGCCGTCTGGAGGCCATCTTGGGCGTCTTGGAGCGATCTTCGGGCGTCTCGGGCCCCTCTTGGACAATGTTGGGGGCCTTTTGGGGCCCTCTTGGGGCGATCCTGAGGGCCCCGGGGGAGTGTCTCGTGACCTTCCCGGGACCCTTTCAAATTATTCTTTGAATCTCTCTCTGAAGAAAGGGCTATGCTTTTTCCATTTAGCGATGTCATGCCCAAACCCTTGCTTGCCTTTGAAGTTGTGATCAGTTGTCGGAGTCACTCATGAATCATTTACCTAGTGGAAAACGATTTAAGGCAGTTGATCATCTATCAACATATACAGATGATTGAATGTTGTAGTCAGTTTGTGCGATGTGCATGTGGCATCGAACAGCATACATGCAGTATTGATAATAGATGCAGGCTTTGCAGAGTGTTGCAGCTCTGCCTTCCGTAGGCGATGGGACTCCCTTCGCATGTTTTCCCGTTGCCTCGGCTGTATTGTTATGAATTCATGATTTGGCGGCGCAGTCATTTCGGTGGTTGCACGTAGAAAAAACCCTTACCATGACGTAGATCTCCTCTTTATTCGCACAGTCTTTATTCGGACGTCGACGACGACGACGACGACGACGACGACGACGACGACGACGACGACGACGACGGGGTCCTCCGCACTTCCCGAAGTCCTCGGCCCCAGACGCCCGAGCGACCAGCGAGGCCGCCGCGGGGACCGGGGCGCCCGAGGCGCCCAGGCGAGGCCGCCGCGGGGACGGACGGCGGACGGGCGGACGGGCGAACAGGGGAGTGAGTGTAAATGAGGCCAGCGCTGCAGCGGGAACACGATTCGGAACGAGCGGAAGCCCGAAAATGAGGCCAGCGCCTCAGCGAGAGCAGCAGTTTGAAAAAATTCAGGCGAAAACCCAACTCTGGGGAAATCCTGTGTGTACAAAGGCAGGACGCGGGGGGGGGGGCGGCCATCTCCCAGACGTATTCAGGGGAGAGAGGGAAGTAGTATTCATATTGAGTAAGTGTGGAGAGGGGGAAGGAGACGGGATGGGGGGGGGCAAGGGGACGGAGGGAGAGTGGGCGAGGGGAACAGGAGCGAGGGGGAGGGGGGGAGAGAGGGGGGGCAAGCCAGGTGCGCTCGCGCCACATCTGACATCCCACCCCTCCCTCCCATCCCTTCACATTGCCCTCACTCCCTCACGCCTGCGAGAACCTCCCCGTTTCCCCACTTCCCTTTTCCCTTTCTCCCTCCCTCCCTCCTTCTCTCCCTCCCTCCCCCCTCTCTCCCTCCCTCGCTCCTGATCCTCCTCCCTCCTCTCTCCTCTCCTTTCTCCTCCTTCCTCCTCTTTCTTTCTTTCTCTCTCTCTCTCTCTCTCTCTCTCTCTCTCTCTCTCTCTCTCTTATATATATATATATATGTAATTGAATCGAAGACGCCTACGGCGAATCACCGCCGCCCCCTGCCTTTTTGGAGACGCCGATGTGGCCGAAAGTTGGATTAGAGCTTGGCCAAGCTATCGGACCATGAGTTCCCCGAGTCGGTTTGGAAAGCTTTCGGGGAACACATGGGAGATAATGATTATGAACAGGAAGAGGAAGAGGAAGACATAGAGTAGGAGGATGAGGGTTGTTAGGAGTCTCTTGGGGCACCCTTGGGGTCTGTTGGGGGCTTCTTGGGGGCCTCTTCGAGGCCTCTTGGAGGCATCTTGGGGGCCTCCTTGGGCCTCTTGGGGGCCTTTGGGGGCTTCCTGGGGGTCTCTTTGGCCGTCTTAGGGCGTTCCTGGTCCGTCTGACGCCGTCTGGAGCCGTCTTGGGGGCCTCTCTGGGCCGTCTTGGGGCCCTCTTGGGGCGCTTCAGGGCCGTCTTGGAGGCCATGTTGGGCGTCTTGGAGGCCTCTTGGGCCGTCTTGGGGCGCTCTTGGGGCCGTCTTGGGGGGCCCTTGGGCCGTCATAGGGCCTTCTTGGAGGCCTCTTGGGCGATCTTGGGGGCCTCTTGGGCCGTCGGAAGGCCGAAAAGAAGAAAACGCAAAAAACCTTCAAAAACCTAAGGACAACCAATGATTTTGGCCTCTTCGGGCTCTCCTGGAGAACGTCTTGGAGGCCTCTTGGGCCATCTTGGAGGCATCTTGGGGCCATCTTGGCCGTCTTGGAGGGCATCTTGGGCCGTCTTGGAGGCATCTTGGAGCCATCTTACCCGTCTTGGAGGCCATCTTGGCCGTCTTGGAGGCATCTTGGAGGCCATCTTGGGCCATCTTGGCCGTCTTGGAGGCCATCTTGGGCCAAGTTGGGGCAACAAAGGCATTGACAGATGGATTTTCGGAAACTTACGGGTGGCCGGCGGGACGGGCCGAAGCCCATTGGGGAGTTCTTTTAGAAAAAGAACCAAAACCAAAACCTGAAACGTCCAGCACGCCGTGCACCCCTGTGGCAAGACCACAGGGGGCGGCGGATCGAAGACGCCTACGGCGAATCACCGCCGCCCCCTGCCTTTTTGGAAACGCCGATGTGGCCGAAAGTTGGACTAGAGCTTGGCCAAGCTATCGGACCATGAGTTCCCCGAGTCGGTTTGGAAAGCTTTCGGGGAACACATGGGAGAGAATGATTATGAACAGGAAGAGGAAGAGGAAGAAATAGAGTAGGAGGATGAGGGTTGTTAGGAGTCTCTTGGGGCACCCTTGGGGTCTGTTGGGGGCTTCTTGGGGGCCTCTTCGAGGCCTCTTGGAGGCATCTTGGGGGCCTCCTTGGGCCTCTTGGGGGCCTTTGGGGGCTTCCTGGGGGTCTCTTTGGCCGTCTTAGGGCGTTCCTGGTCCGTCTGACGCCGTCTGGAGCCGTCTTGGGGGCCTCTCTGGGCCGTCTTGGGGCCCTCTTGGGGCGCTTCAGGGCCGTCTTGGAGGCCATGTTGGGCGTCTTGGAGGCCTCTTGGGCCGTCTTGGGGCGCTCTTGGGGCCGTCTTGGGGGGCCCTTGGGCCGTCATAGGGCCTTCTTGGAGGCCTCTTGGGCGATCTTGGGGGCCTCTTGGGCCGTCGGAAGGCCGAAAAGAAGAAAACGCAAAAAACCTTGAAACACCTAAGGAAAACCAATGATTTTGGCCTCTTCGGGCTCTCCTGGAGAACGTCTTGGAGGCCTCTTGGGCCATCTTGGAGGCATCTTGGGGCCATCTTGGCCGTCTTGGAGGGCATCTTGGGCCGTCTTGGAGGCATCTTGGAGCCATCTTACCCGTCTTGGAGGCCATCTTGGCCGTCTGGGAGGCATCTTGGAGGCCATCTTGGGCCATCTTGGCCGTCTTGGAGGCCATCTTGGGCCAAGTTGGGGCAACAAAGGCATTGACAGACGGATTTTGGGAAAATTACGGGTGGCCGGCGGGACGGGCCGAAGCCCACTGGGGAGTTCTTTTAGAAAAAGAACCAAAACCAAAACCTGAAACATCCAGCACGCCGTGCACCCCTGTGGCAAGACCACAGGGGGCGGCGGATCGAAGACGCCTACGGCGAATCACCGCCGCCCCCTGCCTTTGTGGAAGCGCCTATGTGGCCGAACGTTGAGGCCAGACCTGCCAAGCCATCGGACCATGTGTTCCCCGAATCGGTTTGGAAAGCCTTCGGGGAACACGTGGGCGTCTTGATGGTCATCGTCGTCGTCTTGGAGGCCTCTTGGGCGATCTTTCGGCGATCTTTGGGGGCTCTTGGGCCGTCTCGGGCCGTCGGAAGGCCGAAAGAAGGGAAATGCCCAAATCCATCAAAAACCTTGGGAAAATCAGTGATTTTGGCATCTTTTGGCCTTCCTGGAGGCCCTCTTGGGGGCCTCTTGGGCCCTTTTGGGCCAGCTTCGAGCCAACTTCGGCCATCTTGGTGGGTTCCTGGCACGTCTGACGCCGTCGGGAGCCGTTTGGGGGGGCCTTTCTGGGCCAACGGGGGACCCTCTTGGGGCGCTCCAGGGCCGTCTTGGAGGCCATCTTGGGCGTCTTGGAGGCCATCTTGGGCGTGTTGGAGGCCTCTTGGGCCGTCTTGGGGCCCTCTAGGGGCCATCTTGGAGGCCACTTGGGCCATCAGGGGGCTCTCTTGGGGGCCTCTTGGGCGATCTTGGGGGCTTCTTGGGCCGTCTTGAGCCGTCGGAGAGCCGAAAAGGCGCAAATGCCAAAATCCTTCAAAAACCAAGGGAAAATCAATGATTTTGCCCTCTTCGGACTCTCCTGGAGGACCTCTTGGAGGCCTCTTGGGCCGTCTGGGAGGCCTCTGGGGGGCCTCTTGGGCCGTCTTGGGCCGTCTTGGACTCTCTTGGGCCGTTTTGGAGGCCGTCTTGGACCATCTCGGGCGGACTTGGAGGCCATCTTGGGCCATCTTCGCGATTTCTTGAGGATGTCCCGAGCGAAACGGCCGTTGTTGCGCACGGTGGCGGGTTCTGCCGGAGCCCACTGGGGAGTTCTTTTGGAAAAAGAACCAAAACCAAAACCTAACAGCTCGTCCAGCACGCCGTGCACCCCTGCAAGCAGGGGGCGGCGGATCTACTGGCCTTCGGCCCATCCCGCCACCGTGCCTGGGTTGAGGGTATGAGGCCTATTGGATGTTCGTTGGGGTTTCTTGGGAGTCTTCTCGGGGGCCTCTTTGAGGCAGTGTCGAGGCCTCTCGGGGGCCGACCTGTGGAGGCCTCTTGGGGGCCGTTTTGGGACCTCTTGGGGTCGTCTTTGGGCGTCTTGGGGGCATCTTGGGGCATCTTGGGAGCTTCTTGGGGCCTCCTGGGGGCCTCTCGGGGCGGAGGGCTAGAGTTTTCGGTTCGGGCTCCCCTTCTTGGGCCTCTCATGGGGCCGTCTTGGGGGTCTCTTGGGCCGTCTTGGGTGCCTCTTGGGCCGTCTTGGGGCCCTCCTGGGCCGTCTTCGGGGCCTCTTGGGCTGTCTTGGTGCGGTCTTGGGGGCTTCTTGGACCGTCTTCAACGCCGTGAGGGCCGACAAGTCGTATATGCCAAAAATGCACGTTTCCCATAGGAATTTGATAATTTTGGCTTGTTGGGGCCCTTCTGGGAGTGCTCTTGGAGGCGTCTTGGGGGCCTCTTGTGCTGGCTTGCGGCCGTCTTGGGCGTCTTCGAGCGATCTTTGGGCGTCGCGGAGCCTTCTTGGACCGCCTTGGGGGCCTCTTGGAGCTTTCTTGGCCCGTCTTGGAGTCTTCTGGACTCCCGGAAAAGCCACGCGAGCGCGCCCGGCAGCGCCCAGGAGCGCCCAAGAGCGCCCGGCCGCGCCCGGGAAACCTGGGGTCTGGCCCCTTAAGAAACTAGAGTCCTAGCAGCAGCGCAGCTGCGTGAGCCTTGGGGCACTCCACTTCGTGCCAAGGGCACGGTGGCGGATAAGCATCGCTGACTTCGGTTTCCCTGGTGCTGCAGTACCACAAGTATTGATTCCCGAGGGTGCCACATCCATCCGCCAGGGTGCATTTCATAAGTGTTCTTCCCTGCAGAGCCTTTTATGGAACACTAGGCCACCCCCAGGGGCGCGAATATTACCGCGCCTCGCGCGCCGCGGCCTGGGCCGGAGAGTTGCCTTTCTCCAGGGGGCGGCG